TGGCTCCTAGCAGAACACAGCTGAGGAATAGAGCAGAAGCAAATGCAGGGAGCTCATGAACAGGGACAGTTAACAGGAGTTTGTCGGGGCAGAGATAGGAAGGAAAGGTCTACTGGAGGAAAGGACACAACAAAAACACAGTGGAGGAAGCACCATGGTAAAGACTCACAGTGAGGAGCAAAAGAATAAGACAATCTTCACTGGTGGAACTGCAAAGCCGCTTTCAATTTCTTGATGAGGAGTCTGGCAGGAGCAAGTTCACGAAGCCAAAGAGGAAACCTCGCAGGAGTATATGAGAGGGACTGAAGCTCAGCCAAGCTGAGGCCCTATGTCATGAGTTCAGCCAAAGAAGATCTGGAATCTGAGGGATTAATTACAGCTGAGGAAAATGCTGGGCAATCAGAATCGCAGATAGCTGAATCACCACCAGATTCTCCTCCCCCAGTAGCCAGAGTGTGGGACAAGCTTCGGCACAGACTCATGACAGGAAGGTCTGAGGCTCACATGAATGCTTCCCACAGGAACACCAGGTCAACCAGTCCTGAGTTTTAACAGCATGGAAAGCTTCTAGGAGTTTGATTACTGCTGCTGCTCTATAATCTGCACCCAGAAGGCTTGGAAGCTTGTGGAAGCAACAAGTCAAGACTTTCCTGGCTTCAGACACATATCCCCTAGTGGACTGGGCACAAGGGGAGTTGCGCTTCAGGAATCTGTGTCCACATCTGGTTCCACCAGCCACCTTGGCTGCAGCAGGTTTGACAGTTCCATGATACCCTTGGCATACAGGGACTTTGCTGATGTCTTCGAGGAAAAGGGGGCCAACCAGCTACCTCCTATGATTGTGCCATCAATTTGGTGCCTGGAGAATCCCTCCCTGTGGCATGGATCTACCCTATGTCCAAACCAGAAATTGCGGCCTTGCGGGCCTTTCTTGACAAAAACCTGAAATGGGGATTTATCCGGCCGTCCACGTCACTCCTGTCTGCACCCAGAGAATTACAGTTATTGTAACTCCAATATACATGGAGAGCCAAAACTCTCCCATTCCTGAACTAACAAATAAATATAACATTAACATTTGTGCTAATGACATGGCCATGAAATATTCCTAACTTCTTGACATATAGCACTTCCAAGGATGTTTCAAGCCCCATGATCCCTGGGAAGAAGTAGCTGATGGTTAAGCCAAAGGAAGATGAATGATACCTGTTTATAGGTAGCCTTGAGAAACACAAAATTTCTGATTCTTTGAATGTGTTTTGTAACAGAAAAGGCAGCCTCTAAGGGTCTAGGAACCCTTGGTTGCCATCCCCACCCCAGTGTTTGGTGGGCTGCACCACAGCCCTTCAATTTTTCACATGTCCCAGAAATCTTGGGAGAATCTTTTGTCCTTTAAGATGCAACACATGCATCCTGGCGAGTCAGAAATAGAAAGTGACAGGCTAATTATCCTTTTTTCAGAAACTGGAAAACTATGGAATAAATGAGACCTGAAGGAAAAAGTACATTTAAATGGCAAATTTAATCCCTTGTACATTTTATGGTAAAATTTCAGGAAGGCCCACACACTGGGGCCTGAGAGACTAAGGGAAGGACCTTCTGGAAGATCTTAAAAAAACAGATGGAGTTGGGTGTCGTCAGTACACTGGTAGTACCAGACCACAAAATTCTGGTCAGCCTCGTTCAGGTTTTTCATGTCCATGTGAAAGAGTATGGGGCATTCCACAGGCCAAGGTGTGGAACAGGACTCCTCCAGCAGCACTACCATCCACACAATAACTCCATGTGGGGTGTTACTGTCTCCCAGAAGCAGACTCCTTTTTTCATCAGTTCACCACTTCTCACCTAAACACAAAGCCACAGTCAGGGCTATGTGAATGGTCGTAAGCAGAGAGAGGGGATCCTGTAAACCATCTGGACTGCTGCCATGGGTGTTGCCCACGTTCAGGCTGCCCTTGGCTAAGTGAAGCTTGGCATGCTTTTTCTGGCTGGCAATGCAGGTATGATGCTGTGGAGCAATATCGGGCCATTTTCTGCCTTTTTGAATCTTGGGTACAGAAGCACGATATCCCATAATCCTAAATCAGAGGGTTTTTTATTTTGAAGACTTTAATTATTAAAGCTACCGAAGCCCCACCTGCCTTGTAAACTGCCTCCCTTCATCATGAGTGGATGGTGCTTTTCAGAAGAGACCATGAACAACGGCTTCAATCGTCCCTCCTTTAAAGAGGACATTTCAAGTGCATCACTTACCTTTAAATGGCTGAAATGTTTTCTTCTAAGCAACAGTACACCCTCTCATCCTTTTAATTTGATTCATCACCGTGGGATATTGTGCTTCTGTATCCATAATCTAAAACACGAGGAAATGGCCCAATGCTGCTACACAATATTGTGCCCACATCACCAGCAGAAAAAGGATGCCAGGTGTTACATAGCAAAGGGCAACCTGAATGTTGACAACACCTAAGACTGTGTCATTCAGAAAGTGACACAAAGTGAGGGAAAATTCCAGAAGCTGGCTGGTTTTTCCCCTCCTTTTTTCCTAATGCACATTTCACTCAAACACAAAGCAGCTGTCAGGGCAACTTTTCAACAAGTACAAATGATAGCCTATACTTTAAAATCGAACTTTAAAACTATTTGCCCAAATGTCACTAGGTTTGGCACAGAGCAATGTCATAGTGTCTATTTCTACTGTGCTAGATATGATGCTGATCCGAAGCCGAGTTTCACAGTTATGATGTTTTGTTTGGGCTGACCCCATTTTTCGAATTGCCTTACAGATTTGCTGTGCCAGCACAATATTATCACTGCACTCTAGAGATGTTTCAGGCAGGAAAAGTGCATGATGGAATACACTGAAATCATTTATAAATGCAGGATCTGGGGAGAAAATAAACCCCAGAAAACTATGGACGTCTGGCAATTACTCTAGGCTTAATAAAGTTTGTCTGTAAAGAATCTTGGCAATAATCACTATTGGAAAGCTGACCAAGCAGTACAATTGTTACAAATCAAAAGAAAGCAGAGGGAACCTCAAAACAAAATTCTTATCTTTGCATGTTTCAAAGGAGGGGAAGAAATACAAGATGTTGGGAAACATACATTGTACCCCTTGACAATTTGTCCAGTCGTGTCCGACTCTAGGGGGCTCATCTCCGTTTCCAACCAACAGAGCTAGCATTTGTCTGCAGACAATTCTCCATGGTCACGTGGCCAGTGTGACTAGAGATGGAACGTCATTTGCCTTCCCACCGAGGTAGTACCTATTTATCTACTTGCATTTTTGCATGCTTTTGAACTGCTAGGTTAGTGGGAGCTGGGACAAGCGACGGGGGCTCACTCCGTCACGTGGATTTGATCTTATGATTGCAGGTCTTCTGACCTTGCAGCACAGAGGCTTCTGTGGTTTAACCCGCAGCGCCACCATGTCCCTTACATGGTACCAGGCAGTATCTATTGTTTAAAGGTGGCTGGGTGAGGATCCCATCTAGAAATTGGGTGGATTCATGCCTTGCACTCATGTTCTTTGTGCTACAGCCACTGAAGGATGCCTGATTTCTGTGGTGCAGTCTGTGGGCCCCATGGGAACTCTGATTTGATGGTTTGGGAAGCATCCCACTTGGAAACCATATGAAATCTAGAGGACCCATTTCTGATTTCATGGATTCACCTTCTACTTTTCTTCAATTGAATATTACAGTGTCAGTTGCAATGTCGCTGTGGGCCCCCAAAAACAGAAATAATATAAAGCCAAAGCCATGTTTTCTAAAATTTATTGGGCAGGGTGCAAATCCAGAAACAAATAAATTATGCATAATCATCCTGTGCTCTGTAATGTGTCTGAAGCATTGGGGGGAGGGGAACCCAAGAAATTTGATTGCACATGGCATGTGATCAACCAGAGGCAAGGTATGTTCCATTGGTAGGGCATTAAAAAATCAACACATATGAGCTACTATTAAACTACACTTTGAATTGTTTCACTGTTTCAGCTGACAAATCACATTTTATAAGTTGGACCATGCTCATAGATTGAAGAGAAAGGCCTTTAATTGGTCAAATAAGGGGCCAAAGTCAAGATTTCAGAAATCCCCTGCCAGAGAGTCCTTCTGTTTTTGCCATCCAAGCTGGTTTTTGCATTCCCTCACGGAGCTCGGGCCCAAAGATCATCCCTTTGAAACCTCAGATCACAAGGGACAACTGTACACTGCCATTCTGGCTCCATTACAGACATCTCCTGGGCTCGGCTGGTGCAACTTCAGCCTTACCTAAAACCCCATAAAACGGCTGCCTATTAGAATTGAGAAGATGGGGAGTAAGACCTAATTCATATGAAAAACTGAGACACAGGACCTGACAAGGAAACAACTGTGATAAAAGGCTAATGGGAATTGGAAAAAATAACCAGAGTATATAAGAAGTGCCTAAGGAGGGCAGTGGATTCTAATTTCAATCATGCGAAGTCATGAAGCTTTTCTTTTTGCTCGTTTCAGTTTCCTGTTTGAGTAGATGCACCACGGGTGGAGTAAAAGATAAAACAACGCTTGTAAAATGTTTCCTAAGGTTTTAGCTTATCTTCTTCAGAACTGAATTGAATTCCATGTGCTTGTTACTGTCCTGCAAGCACATCTCGCCAAGCAAATCGTGTTCCATTTATGCGTAGTTTCCTTCTACGCATTCTTACAGTAATTATAACCTGTAAGGATGCTTAGTGGAAAACTGGTTAATTGGATGGCCCAACAGAATCAGATTTGTGAGGTGATCCGTTGCTATGTGTAGAAACTCATAGAGACCGTAACAGAGTACCGTGTTTCCCCAAAAATAGAACAGGGCCTTGTATTATTTTTTTTGCTCCAAAAAACACATTAGGGCTTATTTTCAGGGATGTTTTTTTCATATTCAACAATTTATATTTATTCAAATACAGTCAGATCATCTGGTTGCTGCACAAGGGTGGAAGGCGGGTTTTTTATTTTTGGGGTAGGCCTTATGTTACGAGCATGCTGAAAAATCATACTAGGGCTTAATTTTCAGGTTAGGTCTTATTTTTGGGGAAACAGGGTATTAAAAGAGGTATTATGAGGAAGCTTTATCCCTCCTAGTGAGTTGCAGTGCTAAACCAGAGGGGATTCAAACCCAATTCTCTCCAGTCCGAATCTATCACACCACCGTGGGGCATTTACATTTGGAAATGGCAGTGGGACTATCCTGTAAATTAAGAAACACAGCGAATTTGCAACAAATCATCAAAAGGAAGTTGAAGTATCACAGGAAAGCAATGCTGGAAAGATAACATGTGTTCAGGTAGTCAAAAAAGAGCACAAAGCTCCTCTGTCAAATAATGTGTATAATTAAACGAGCAGAAGCCAAAGCCCTGATCTCCCTCCAGCGCTATCAGCCAAAACCAAAATACTTATTTTAAAAGGACCAAAGGTCTTATTTCTTCACTGACTTTTCTGCAACAGTTCCAACTTTAAATACCAAGGGAATCCCAGAAAATTTACAGAAGTGTGCCCAAAAGAGGTAGGAACCCTTTGGTCTTTTCAAAGTCCACCATGCATGTTAATTAATGTTGAATCTGATTGAAATGTTTACCTGTGAACAAGAGCTAAAGGGCCATAGGTTCTACTCAGCAACTACTTTTAAAGACTGCTTTCAAATGGGCACACATTGCATTTTGGTATTCCTTACATTTTAGGTTTACCGAGTGCAAAGATTCTGCTCTGTTAATTCTTCTTACAATAAAAAAATAAAATAAAAGGACTCATATACATGATTCTTTGGTGCAATACCCAATCGACTTCATCCATAAAACATTAAACACACTTTCATAAAATTGTTTCCTGTAGCAGAAAAAATGTAAAAAAGTGAACTAAAAAAATAGACCGGGTTGTTCAATTCAAGCAAAACCCTACACATTGTAATTGAAAGACACTTCAGTGTCCCCACCAGCAGTTTCCCCTCAACATTTTGCTAGGAAGCAGAATTGGGCCAACAACGCCCAAGACCAAATCCAAAACAGAACCATCTTCCAGAAGGTATTGTGTCATCCGCTGATTTGATCCCTAAAATGTATACTTTCCCATGTAGTGTTTGTACACGAAACATCTTTTAAGCCCATATCTGAAACATTTTAAAGCAATGCCCATCGTTGCTTCTTGTTGTGTTTTAAAATAGTCTTTTTTCCAACCCACACCTGTGTGCATCGTGCACCATCAAGCCGCTTCCGACCTGCAGCAACCTTTTAATGGTTTTCAAACATGTGAAACATTTTGAGAAGGGGTCATATTATTGCCTCACTTTCCCAGTGAGTTCATGGCTGAGCAGGTATTTGCTACCTGTTTTGCCCTACTCTTGAAGTGCATTTATTACTTAGACGGAAGCATGCATGCATCTTCCCCTTCAGTTCACTTGGGTTTTCCCCCCACAACCAGAATATTCTCAAGTATCAAAAGCCTAGGGCAGGTTTCCAAGGAAAGTCTTTCCCTTGTTGCACAGAAATAGTTCACATTTAAGGAATTTATGACCGGCTTCAAGTCCAGAAACCCAGAACTCATTTTGATGACTTCCCACACTGAGTTTTTACACAGCAAGTGTCATGGCTGTGCAACACGGAAACCTTCTTGGTCCAGGTTTTACCAGGGCCCCCGTTCGATGGAAAGTGAGTAGACAAGAATTCATCGTTATCCCTGCAGGAGAGAGAGTTGTGCTCTGTAACTGATACCTCAGTTTTGTGTTCCAGATTTCTTTTAAAGAATTAAAAAAAAATTAAATTAATCCCATATTTTGGAAAAGGATTGTCTCTTTCAGAAACGTTGGCCAGCGTATCTTAAATTCTTCAGAAATGCCTCACATATGGAGCTTGATAGCAACAGCAGATGGTGACTTGGTTCCCTGCAGGCATTCCCCTCCTATTACCAAAGAATCATTTCAACGCAATGACCTATTGCCTTCTTAGCGAGTCTTCCCTGATATTAGGAAACATGATGAGGCTTTCTATTCCATAGAGAGCAAAACGAGAAGGAGGGTCCTACTTGATAACATTTTTAATTGTCCATTTTTGCCCGGTACAGCTCCGAAGAATAAGATCCACACCCGTCAGGCCCCTATTCTCAACTTCCAAACAGCGTCCTGTTCCCTTGTTTAGGATTGCACCGTGCTGAAATAAAAAACAGATGACATTGATCAAATGTAAAATGGCACAGAAAGACACTTCAAGAAGTAAAAAGTTCAGGGTAAAACTATATAATATAAATAGCTTTTTATAAATTATACAAATAGTGCAGGAAACTGTGGGGACAGCACCATGAGAGTAATAAACATGAATCATGAAACCGGAAACACTAACGTAGCTATCCAAGCACACTTCTGCAGAGGCATGGTTGATCTGAAGATATGTGCTGAGACACAAGAAAGCTTATGAAAAATAAAAACGAGAAGGTCTTATAAGTTTTACACTTCTATTAGCTGCCTTGGGTCCTTTAGAGGAGAAAGGCTGGAGAGAAATATTTTAAATAGATTTAAATAAATAAAATAAATGTTTCTGGTTACTATCTTCTGAGTAACAAGGCCATCTTGTTACAATTATCTCTGTACTGTTTAACATTCTTGTGTTCTCCCTTTCCCGTGCAATAATGGTATTCCTAAATATTGTAACGCATTTGAGGGGGGAGAGACTGGGGAAGTGCATTGGCAGGCATAATATGTGAAACTAGTGTTATGTATCGTAACTCTTTTGTTCCCCATAGTGTTTAATCCTCCATTGACGGCATTTCTGAAGACCTTTTAAAATTGTATTTGGCTTACATGAAGGTGGCAGATGATACCTGCATTTAATTTATTTTGTTCTACTAAACATTTTGCACTTCCTTTCACCTCACACAGGAAAAAGGCATGTACAGGGATAGAACGCCTTAACTGAGAATTGAGAGGAAATCAGATCAAAAGGCAAAGGACCGAAACCTGCTGCAGAATGAGTTCAGTGAAATTCCCCCTCCTTCGAAGTGGTATGCTAATTAATTATCTAAGGTGTGTGTATACCATGCAAGCATCACAAATCTGCAATCTCTATGGACAGGTTGGCCAACATCCAAGGAAGAGAAGCGGCGTCTACAGTAAATCGTGTCCTGTCTTGGGTTTTTATGAGCCTTGACATTTATGGGTACACATATGTGGGTATAGGCCAAAAAGATGAGTCTAAGATAAATTTATTCACTGATGATACATTGCTAACAATAAAGGACCTACACAGAATTATAGAGTGTATAAAAGCTCATTTGCTATAATTTGGGGGAGTAACTGATGTATAAACTGATGTTTAACTCTGTTCAGCTTTGGCATTTGTTATGTTGTAATAAAGATCTTTTTTAAAAAATGTTTCAGTCTTAAAACCTGGTGGGTTCACATATGTGGTTGAAGGCAAGCCTAGTAAAAAGTAAGGGCACCTCAAATGTGATGAGTCTGGATAGAGGAGGTCACATCAATGGATGGCGGATGTGAGACATGAAAAATCCAGTCAAGATTTTCAAAGAGCCCGGAGAGGCCTAGAAACATCCTAGATGGTGGATCTGGAGACCTGACAGTGGTGTGGGATCTTAAGATCAAGGCAGGATTTTGGACCTGCTGGCCCAGAAGAGGTCTCAGGAAAATCCTGTGTGGTCAGATTTATAGATCTGTTGGCTGAAAACTCTAACTCAGGGAAGGAGTTACGAATTGGGTGAAAAGGGCTGGAGAATTGTTGGAAAGCCAAGGGAGAAATCACCTGAGGAAAAAGTATTGGGAAAAGTAAGGAGACACTGAAAA